TCTATCTATCTATCTATCTATCTATCTATCTATCTATCTATCTATCTGTCATCCATCCCTATCTATCTATCATCCCTATCTATCTATCTATCTATCTATCTATCTATCTATCTATCTACCTACCTACCTACCTACCTACCTACCTCTCTATTCTTCCTATGAATGACCAGTGTGTTTTTATTTGGTATGCATTGTTTGTGTGTATCTATACATACATACATACATACATACATACATACATACATACATACTTAGATAGAGAAATAGATGGTAGATAAGTAAATGATAGGTAGATAGATAAATGATGGATGATAGAGGACAGATAGATGATGGGTAGACAGATAGATGATATATAGACCAAGGGTCTTCAAACTTGGCAAGTTTAAGACTTGTGGACTTCAACACTCAGAATGCCTGAGCTAACAGGACTGGAGGAGGCATTCTGGGAGTTGAAGTCCACAAGTCTTAAATTTGCCAAGTTTGAAGACCCTTGGGCCTTTTAAGCCTTTGCCGTGGGAATTCTGGGAGTTGAAGTCCGCACACTGCAAAGTTTGAGAAACCTGGCTCTAAGGTTCATCCCAGGGCCCCCTGCAGGCCCGCCCCCCCAGGCAGGGGAGTGCAGTTGCGCCTGCGGGTTGGCTCGTGCGCGCCCCCTGGAGGCCGAAGATGGAACACACACACACACACACACACCACCCTCTTAAGAAGCAAAACAGCTGACTTGCTTAGGCGGGTCCTTTTCCCGATGGCAGCTGGTTTAAAACTGCTGGAGGCTGGGAAGAAGAAGATGAAGAAGATCCCCTCCCTTGTCGGTCGCCTGCGGCATTTTCGCCTGGCCGGTGGCTTTCCTCTTGACCAGTGATTCCACCCCCCACCCACCCCCCATTCACCCCCACCTGGCTGGTCAAGAAGAAGAAGAAGGGGAGGGGGAATGACCAAAGGGAGGGGCAGCTGCGATGCAAAGAGAGAGTCCAGCGAGCTGGACGAGGCTGGTGGTCCTTTCTCTTCCAACCCAGCCTGCTGGCGCTTCCCTTCCTTTCCCTGTTGGCCAGCCCAGGCTGACGGAGCCCCGGCGCCAGTTCAACGGGCTGGTCATTCCGCCAGTCCTCATTGAGCAAGCGGAGCACGTCGGACGGAGTCCTATTGTTGAGGGCAGACGCCGCCATGCTTAGCCTGCCAAGGGGGCTAAAGTGAGCGCCCGAGGAAGATGGCGTATGTACAGGTAGGGCTGAACAGCCGGGCGGGGTGGGCTGGGGTGGGCTGGGAGGAGAAGGGGCAAGGGGAACAGAGAGGAGGAGGAGAAGGGGGGCGGGCTAGAGACCTCTCTCCCCCCCCCCTCCTTCCCCTCGGGCTGACTTTGCTGGGAGCCGAGCAAGGAAGACAAAGAAAGAAAGAAAGAAAAAGAAAGGGGGGCGAAGGCAGAGGCGTTGTGGGGGTCCCTCCACCCCAGCAACTCCCCCAGCTTTGCAAAAAGCGTGCATTTTCCCGTAGGAAACTTGAGCGAGCAGGCTGGACTTTCGGAGCTGCTCCGGAGTTTCCTCCGACCAAGAGGAAAATGCAACCTGTAGCATGAATAGGTGGAGTCCACCTCCCCACCCCTGCTTCGGCCCCATCTCTCAGGGCTGGGAGTCTCCGTCCCTCCTATATCATCT